AATTTGGCTATGCGTTTGTTATAGATCTTTGTTTTTTATTTTAACAGCTTTTTGCCGTAGCGCTACCTGTGAGAAATCTATGAAAGTATTTTCTACAATCAATTAAGTAACCATTACAGCTACCAGCCCCCGTAGCATGGCTACGCATGAAAATCGCGACGCGAGCGATAAAATTGAAATAAGCGCGCGCTATTGGCTACTGATTGAGACAGCCAATAGCGCGCGCTTATTCCAATTTTATCGCGCGCGTCGACTAAGATGCGTATATACTACAGGGGCTGTTGTCGCTTTATAAATTGTAATTTTGATTGTAATGAATATCATAATGTTTCACTACCGCGATATTAATTTATTTTTATTAGATTACTCCACCAATTGTAATAATAACTACATCATGCAGGATTATTATGAATTGACCGGAAACTTCTTATCACGGCAATCGTATTATTAAAACAATGTTTGTTGGTACCACTAGGAATGCGCACAAATCGACAGAATAGCTGATAAAGCTTTGTTTGAGAAACAAATTTTTGGTAGTCGTTGCACAAAACTTTGATACGGTTAAACGAAAAATAAAATTTAATGAACCCCATAGAGAGATTTAGAGGACACAAGTTAGGTCACGTTGTGGGACTGTAACTTTTTATTACACGGCATATTGCTCTGGGGAATTGTCGACGACGTCAATAGACACTTTGTCCTGTAGAGGCGTGCTTTTAGGGCAATTTACTAACAAGGCCCCAGTTTGAACGTATTAAGTCACGAAGTAATTAAGTTTTAAGTAAATTTCAACTTAGTTTGAAGTAGTCTAACGTTTACTGGTGTTTTAGTGAAACTGTGAGTGCAATCAGACATAAGTTCTATTGAAATAGGTTAACGGATAGTGTGTGAAACTCAATAAACCGGATTCATCCTTAATTTGCTTCCCTTAGAGGTGGAGAATATTTTATTCAAATTTGGATGGGACCACTATTAAGATGCTGCCATTCCAACAAAAGAAGAATCATACAAAAATAAATACAGTGGAATGGAGAACCTTCTTCTTTTTTAAAGTCGGTTATGAATGTAGTTTAATAAAGCCACGGGGTGCGGTAGTGTCGGCTACTTACTTGAGAAACAGTTTTGATTCTTATCTAGTTACTACTTATCCGTACTTACTACTTATTCATCGATGATTACTCATTGTAACAGTTATTAAGTGTTTGTTTACACATAATGGTTTAAGTTAAAATTTAGTTAATTACGTTGTCATTTAACACAATGTAAACTAACCATTAAGGCGACTTCAAATTAAATAAATACACAAATAACGCACACACTCAGCTCTGCACTAGGGAAACCCTGTGTCGCGGGTGCCATGGACATACACATAGACAATCACAAATTACACACGCCTGTATCACCTCTCACTTGAGACTGGTGTAGTTCCCAGGTCGTGGAAGCTTGCAAACGTGCAACCTGTGCCCAAAAAGGGATGCAGAGCTGTCCCTGTCAACTATAGACCTATCTCAGTCACTTCCATACTCTGCAAGGCTATGGAACGTGTACTCAACAACCGTCTCCTGTCATACCTTGAAGACAATGACCTCCTCAGTGATCGCCAATATGGATTCCGACGAAGGCGATCTACCGGGGATCTTCTTGTGTATGCCTGTCACATATGGAGCGAGGCTATAGAAAAGCAAGGCGAAGCATATGCAGTGTCTTTGGACATTTCTAAAGCCTTTGACAGGGTCTGGCACGCAAGCCTTTTAAGCAAGCTTCCATGTTATGGGCGTCCCACTGACCTTTGCAATTGGATCTCGGATTTATTGAGTGAACGTTCCATTCGAGTGGTCTTAGAAGGCTACTCTTTCGAACATATGGCGATAGAGACTGCTACTCTCTGCTGCATATCAATGATATGTTAATTCCAAGTACCTTTGCGTATGCTGATGGCAGCACAGTCACAGCGAAGCTGCGAAGCCTTGAACACCGCCGTAAAGTTGCCTGCTTGTCGGTATTTTACAGGATATATCACGGAGAGTGTGCGATGGAATTACACGATTTAATTCTGCCTTCCCCTTTCAATCATCGGGGGACTTGGCGTAGGCTTGGCTTCCGCCCCTATGTTGTGAATATTCCAAAGATTCGCACGAAGCGTTACGCTTCCACATTTATATGGCGAAGTGGAATTTCCTGCCTGCAGACTTGTTCCTTGAACGTTATAACATATATAAAATTATAGGCATTTACTAGGTGTGCATGCTCCATCGTCGACCTCATCGTCACTTTTCATCAGGTGAAATGGAGGTCAAATCCACGCTTACATTAGAATAAAAAAAACACTCAAATTCATGAGAGAAATAAATGTGGGCCATACAAATATTTCTCCCGGCCCGGGAATCGGACCCGGGACCTCTGCGTGGCAGACCGGCATGGTAACCATTCGGCCACGAAGGCAGTTAAATTAGACGCTTGTAGCAGCGCAGCAGTGTTGCGACTGTGACGCGGCAGTTATGCGTCTCCAGTAATTATTAGTTCACTAATTTTGTGGCGCTGCAACTGCGCTTCTGAATATTTTATGAAAATGTATAGTGGCACGACTGCAGCGCCCAATTTAAAGACGCTCTAAGAGCCGATTTACAAAAAAAACCATATTTTCATACTATCACAGCATATTCATCAAAATGTAAAGCCGGGTACTCATTAGCGAGGTATAACTGTAACGTGACAGTTACAATAACGAGATTCTTGTGTGTACGCGTGAAACAGTTTTCACTCGCTGCAATGTAATTTTCAGGTTAGTTTTCTCTACCAAATTTCGGAGGCAATTTTAATTATTATAGAATATTACATATATTATATACAGATATTACATTATCATAAGTATTATTTAATATTCGAGTGTAGTATCCGAACATATTATGTAATATTTCACGATAATCTATTCAAATACTTAAATAATAAAAATTGCCACCAAATCAAAATTTGTCACCAAAATTGAGTACAAAAAACTTACCTGAAAATTACCCAGGTCTAAGACGATAAGATATTGCTATATATATTGATAAGATACTGCTATTCTCGCATAGAAATCACGCGATCCATGTCGCTCTCATGCAAGTCGCGCTTTAATATGCTAGCCCTACAGGTAGTAATTCCAGCGAGCAATGTTTCACGCATATATTGTATACACTAGAACCTTGTTACTGTATCTATCACGTTGCAGCTACAGTTCGCCAATGAGTACCTGGCTTATGAGTAGCAGTATACATTTGCCGATTTTAATTCGAAAACATGTCGTTAAAACAGATTTTTATCTCTTTGTTTTTAACGAGCTATTGTTGTGATTCTATGAAGTTCAATGATTAGCGTATCATTTTACTCATACAGTCGGTTGACGGCGAAAGACCGAGCATTGATACATTCTTTCCGGCTTAGTGTTGTCGTTTATTTTTGTTTATGGGTTATCAATAAAAAAAATATTTCCCTGCAATAAATTTGTGGACAGTACAACGAAAAGTTGAAATTTACATACCATTCAGGAAACGTACATATTTTCGGGTTTTCTTTTAAAGACAAAAAGGCAATATTATATTTCAAACCAATAGTATATTTATGATGACAAAGAACCTAGAAATGATTACAGATTTGCAAGATTATGTAAATACAACTGCGAGACAGCACTGACCTACCAAGAGACAGCCACAAAAGCAAAGCTAGGTACCTTTTTAAACAGAAACCAATACTGTCAAACCAGAAAAGACCCTTTTTGACAATTTATTACTTAGTGATACGTGCGCAGGAATTTTTCAAGTAAATCTCCGTCTTTTTAACTTGAATGTATTTTTTTTGTCTGTGTTTTATGCGATTACGGCATTTGTAAACCGATTTTAATGATTCTTTCTTTTTTGTTGGAAAGACGGCACCTCACTATTGGTCCCATTTAAATTTGAAGAAAATATTCCACAAAACACCACAAAGTTTGAAATCTGTTTCTTATTTAATTTTTAATAAAAATGACTATTTGTTATTTATATACTTCCATACATACGTAGCGCTTTGCTTCCTTCTTCCTAATGAGTAAGAAATAGAATACATTACCGGTACCTGTGTTCCCCGATAAGTACAATTTAGTACTATTAAAGGCTAGAGTTAACGCGTACCATCGTCGCTTAGCATCAGGTGAGATTATCAATGGAGTGTCTATTTTTATATAAAAAATACAATTCTTGTGACAGTGTTAATGCCGGTTGAACACTGTCGGCTTTCATTTCAAGAATCTTAACAATTTTATGGTGTTTTCTTTCTTTCAAATTGGGAGTGATGTTTTCAGTGTTGAGAATTTTTGGGAACTTTTGACACTTAAAACTTGAATAAATAGTGTTAAAAATATTTTTTCCTTGTTTTTTATGATACTTAGTGACATGACGAACACGTCGTGCGCCTAGTGGTAAGCGTCACGCCTGTTCATAACATTTGATGTCACCCTGAGACATAGGTTGACACCATGAGTAGATAGATATTGGCGGTTCTGAACTACTCGATAAGTGGGAATGTAATTTCACTCTTGCACCCTTACCCTTCCAAACCGGAAAGCAGTAATGCTCACCTTACTCCTTGGCGGCAGAAATAGGTAAAGTTGTAAACGTGTAAGAGTTTGTCCAGAGAACTACTATCACTTTACCTATTTCTGCCGCCAAGCAGTAATATGAGCATTAACCGCGTTTCGTCAAATTACAGGGAACATGGGACTTGTCAACTTATATCTCAGAATGACGGGCGCAGTGGCAGTGCCCCTCAGGTCTTTGTTATTTATAACTCTGGTGCAACTGTTATGGACAGGCGTGTTGCTTACTACCAGGCGCACGACTTGTTCGTCTCCTCACTTAGTATCATAAAAATAATATTTTCCTTCCATTTTTATAGTTTGTTTGGTTACACTAAAATTCATGGTCGCTACCTCCCGTCAATAAGGAACCACACGGTGATGATAATTTGAATGTTGTTTGTTTCAGGATGGGAAGGCGGAGAGGGCGAGAGGGCGCCGTTCCTCCGTAACGAGCCGGTGAAACTAACTCCAGCTTGGGAGGGTTCCAACTTACCCAATGACACGCTCAACTTGAAAGGTAAATTCACTTGTAAGTTAGCTACACAATTAGTTAAGTTAGATTTGTACCTCTGCCTTGTTACGGAATTATTTTCTTTCTTGAATTGACTATACTAATTTGACGTCCAAAATCTATACTGATGCCACCATTGGCTATATGTAGTTGGTCCCTAAGGTCAAATAGTAATTTGGTCGTCTTTACACATTATTATTATTATTAGGGCGGCTTCATTCGGAACCACTACGACCATTTATTGATCAGTTATGATCACCACTAATTACAATTCGGAGCCAAGACCAATAAATAGTGTTAAAGAACTGAAGGATTCTCCTGGCTTAGATGGTTTTGATGTTCTCTGGTTGTGCCCTGTGACTTCCCAGTATGGAGCTTCGAATCGAGGAGGCAGCATTGGGTAAGTTAGGAGTTTCACTCCCTGTTTCCTCTCTGCCCAAGATTTGACATTAACTAGACTAGTCAACATTCTGATGCCATTTATGACCAGAGCTAGTTTCTCTGCAGCATTCACTGTAGACAATTATCAATCCATGTAGGCAGGAATCCATCTTTACATACTAATCAATTGCATTCACCAATCTCTTCTGCTTTTGAAGCACGAGATGCAACTCAAGCACAGTATCAAAAGTCCACTCACCTTTTGCCTCTGTTATCGTGTCACTGCACCATTTCAGAGCCAAATTTGTGAGCTTGGTTACCAATATCGTAATATCATTTTCAATATATTGGTATCGGAGGTAAAATTCGTGTGCTGATTTAATACGAATTTCAATCTGTGGGTTCTATCGAATACGATATCGACCGCGGGATTGCGTGTCACCCTGGTTATGGCACAAAGTCGATTTACCAACCCCCTAATGGAAAGGATGTGAGATCCAAAATGTATTAATTTCGTTGTTGAATATAGTTGGATTTTTGTTAACTCCGTTAACATGGATTCGTGCCTGTTCCCACCGATTTTGACTTGATCTGTGTCGTTTCCACACAATAGGTACCATTAAAAACTAAAATCCTCAATGCAGTTGGTATCAGGGGCAACCGGCACGGACCTACAAAAACAATGAAGTAAGTTGTGATGTCATAATGATGAATGAAGGTCACCTTAACATTTGATTACTCATTCACACCTGGCTTTAAAAATTGCGTATTACTGCAGTTACTTAAATTGCATTTGTGCTGGTGGCAACGGGCCAGTAGAGGATATAGAACAAAATACGTTACTTCAGCCACAAGTGGCAATAGATTTGATTGGAGAAGACTCGAATAAAGGACTCTCTTCTAACACAAAAGAAGATTGCGTTTTTGTACATGTACTGAGTGTGCAGTTGTGTATATTGCAATCATCTGCGTAAAGCAAATTGTGTTTAAAACAAAAAAATGTAGGCTCATAAGTTCAAAATGTACCTACTCGTTCCGCTCATAAGTGATTATGGTGCCTTAGCTGACCAGGAGACTCTCCAATCCCAAAGTTCGACTTCACCCACTGTTGGGTATACGCTTCCCGTAGATTGTGCTATCCATCAGGATCTTACTCTAGTATCATCCATCTACTCCATCTACTAACAGTTTACTCTGTCATGGTCAAAAGTTTAGACCTACAAAAATTAAAGAATACTTTTTAGTTCTAATTCTGAAAATACGTCGTGTTGTAACACTAATGAATGTAACTTTTAATTTAGACGAAAAAGAATATTTATATCACAACAAATAGAATAAAATGAATCTATCACTTTTACTTTTTTCGGTCGACGTTGTATATTACATCCATTTATGATGCACGGTCCGACGTATCGAGACTTAGTCGTTATTGTGTGCTCTGACAGTTGAGACAGTATTGAGTCAATGAGTCAGCCAACCATCAAATACGTAACCGAAGCTTAACTCGATTTACTACGTTTTATGAAATTCGATATCTTACTTCTTGAATTACTCAATTTTACTGGCATGGTGGTCTAGTGGAGGATTCAGATTACGTCAGTGGATCCTTTCTATACGTCTTGCCGATTATCTGTTTTATTTTTATTGTGGCAATATCACAACAGCGACTGTTGTCTCTCATACATACATAACTTGACCATATGTCCCGCTTTTAAGTTTCATGTCCCGCAGTCCCCGAAATACTAAAGAATGGCCCGCTTTGATAAAACCAGGATCCACGTGGCAATGAATTTTAAAAAAGTCTGGAGAACTTTAAAAAGCCAGTCCATCACACTAAATAGATTATTAGTTCTTTTTAAAAATTTTTGGTCATTAAACATTTTAGTTCTTTTTTTAATCATTAAACATTTTGTGACTATCATAGACACTGAGAGGATGGAAAAAAAAGATATTTCATAGTCTAACCATAAATAACTGTTTTATTTTACAACAATGATAAATTGACAGGCGTTCCGCTCTGAGGGAAAAAAAATAATGGTCACGTGGTCACTACCCTTGCTCACACCGTGACTCCCGCGGTGACATGTGAAAGGAGCCTTATGTTATAGAGTGACCGTGTAAATTAGTTAGAAGTTTAGAAGAGCCATTTCAAAAGTTACCAGTCAATTTGTTTATCCAGACAACGAATCTCGTGGTCAGCTACTTCTAAAACGGGTGATAAGCCTCCATCGGTTTCTATCCAGCGCGTCCCTCACGACCGTGCAAATTTTGGAGAATGACGAATCACTTTCATTTCACTTGGTCGGTTCATCTTGTTGGTGCACAATATCGTATTCGCTTTCCACAATGAATAGCTTCAAACTAGTTTAAATATTAACCGAAGCGCAGCAAGCGAAGCTTTCTTCGAACATAATTACTCGGCCATTCCTCAACCGATGTCAATGAAATTTGAAACTAGTTTAAAAATAGAATTGTAACGGTCGTGACGAAACATCAATATTTTATTTCGATCTGTGATCTGGAATAATTGAGGTCAAAGGTCACATTCTATTCGTGAAATTTTGTGCGCTCAAATTTTGCAGAACTGCAAAAAAGAGAATAAAGAAGAATAATGTAAGCAAAATAAGAGAGTCTTCGCTTCGCTAGGAAATCGATATTCCGCCTAGTATTTATGAGAGACTGGAATCTAAAGAAATGCCTTGTGTCGTAGAACTCCTGGGTCTCTACTTTTTGGTGCTGTAAGTTATTTACTTAAAACTATTTTTAATTATCATATTTAGGAGGTAATTTAAAAAGTTGACACTGCAAAACAAATCGTTCCCGGCCGTGTCTAAAAAATCGCGATTCAGATCCGAAAAGTATTTTTATTTCCATTGTGTAACAATCGCGAAAACATACGACCTCGAAAATAAGTTCAATGTACTGCGAGTACCATTCGCTTTTTGAAACACAGATCTAGAGAGAGAGAGAGAGAGAGAGATGTTTCCTATCCATTCCTTCTCTGTCATGACATTTGTTTGTTCAATCAATCATACGACATAATTCGTAAGTTGACGACTGCGGACTAACAAAGCAGAGTAGACACTTGCCGCGCTTTAAGAAACTTGCATACGATCACTATACGTAATACAGCGAATCACCACTAAAGAAATCGACGCTGAAAGGTCTAAAGGACTGACACTATATATATATCCGCCTTTTTTAGAATTAGAAAAAACGTAGACATTTCTGACACTGAAGAAAAAGGTTTATGATCACTTCTTAGCAGTGATTATAAACCTTTTTCTTCGAACAACAAATTACAGTAAAGGAAAGCATTGTGACAGTTGTACAAATGACACGATAATGTGTTATTATTTTATAATAATATTCCTTTTAATGTACGTAATCTTTGTTTTTATTATATTTACCTTAAATTACATAATATAAATTTAGAAAGTTTTCATTTAATCTTTAGGGATTATTACGAGTAAAAGACACTTAATAATTATATAAATTCATTGGATATGTTTGAGAATTTCGTTTCACGGTATTTATTAAATTGTTTTGCTTACAAAATGACTGTATGAAATGGCGCCTGATAAAAGACCCAAAACATCCTTAGAATATAATAAAATAGAATAGAATACGTTTATTTGCCAGAATACAATAATGACAAAGCTCTTAAGTAACATTAGGTACATTGTATTCAACCTGCAAGCAGATGTGCAAATATTAATAAGATTTCATGTTCGGTCTGTATTGCTAATTGCACTTTAAATTCATGTTTTGTATTTTAAATAGACGCCGCAAGTACCGCGAACTATATGAAAATCAAGCGTGCCTCATTTTTTGTACCTTCGATGACGTCACAAGGGCCATTTAGTGATGGGAAACCTCCATCAAAAGACACGGATACAGCACGTATTTCAAATATTGATTCTTCAAGTATTTGTTGATTATATGAAGCCGTGAAATATTAATATAGTAAAATAATAGTAGATTGAGATAATTAACTCCTTTATTAATACGTGTTTTGAAAAAAAGTTGTTCCGGAAAACTAAAAAAAAACAACAACAAACTTGTAACATTTTCTAAGGTCTTAAAATTATCTTCCCTTTGTTTCCTTAATCCACCAGAATCGAGAACTGTGTTGCATCAAGTGAACATAACTAATCGTAAAATTTGACCAAAAACATGACGAAGCGACCGTACCACGAAAGTATCGCTTATCGTTTTTTGAACAACGTTTTATGATGTCGTCGAACCAAGCACCAAAGATCGAATACACTCAACGCACTTTCTAAAACACTAACTTGAACCACATTACAGGACCGTAGCTGAGCACGGACGGAAGCTTCTGTCTAATGCTAAAAAAACGGAGTATAGATCCCTCTCAACCTTTTCATAAAATTTAGGTGTGATCGAAATTTTAATATTATTCACAAATTTATGAAAAGGTTATTAGGAATTGTCGCTTAACATTTGTACCTTTTAACCGTCAATGTACAATAAGTTTTTTTTTAATATGCCTTCCGTGATTTACGTAGTTGTAAAATTTGAAATTATTTTTAAATTGATTTTAAAGAGACACTTTGTATAAGGCTTTACTTGTAGTTCCGTGAACATCACACGGTTTCCTACTTTCCAGGTATATATATGTTGCTCGGACATGGCGGACTTATGTCCTAAACCCTCCCTTTAAAGATCTGGGCTTGGCAAGGGGACGTCTATTAATAGAAATAGTGCGTTTTTCGGTTATGGTACTAAAAAATTAAGCTTCACTAACTATGGTTTATTTTTAAATTGATAGTAATGTGAAGCAAATGTATTTCAACGCAATAATAATTATATTCTAACAATGGAGGCTCTTATTCTACAGTGGAAT